TATATATATATAATTCAATTATTATTTTTAATTATTAAGCGTCTCATTCAATGTATGTTGTTGATATTTTGTTAAATATTTATCCTTGTTGTCATTTATAATTGTTCTATCAAATTTTAACATGCTTGTCTCCATTAAAAAATACATATGATATAAAAAAAAAGTCATTGTTTCAAATAAAATTAGACTTAAGCAGTTAGACCTTTCAAAGTTTTAAATTTGAATTTTGTTGGTAGAAAAAAAGCATTATAACTAAGAGGAAAAATGTAAATCGACTTTATCAATTAGTTATTATAATATTAATAAATATTTTGCATCAATAACATAATAAAAAATAAAACATTTTATTCAATTATTTTCTAGTTTATTAATATTAAAAAAAATATTTTTATGTATGAAGATGAAAAAAATAAATAATTTTATTTTCATAAAAAAAAACTTGAGATTATAAGATAAAACATTCAATTATGAAGAAACATACATTTATGCGTAAAAAATTTATACATGCTGGAAAAAAAACTATTAAATTTGTTTCAATTCCATTATGTAAACATAAAATTGACGTATTATTTAATATTATAGGCAATTAACTTTATCTCACTTTTAGTTATCCCATATTATTGTACATAACCCCATTTGATTTTCATTTTCCTTATGCTTGTTTTATCACTATAAATAATTAAGAAATTACCCATGCACACAAACGGTTGTCGACATAAACTCTATACATTAAATATAAATTTTTATTTAGTGATAAAATATTTTTTTTTAAAAAAATTACGATGGTTTTTAGAAATTTTTAGAAATTTTTGTAACTTAATTTTTATCTTTGTTATCTATTTTAGATCGAGAACCTCCTAAAGTTCTGAAATAATTTTTTTCTATTATTTTACTTGAAGTAATGAGCTCTCTATATATCATTATAAATAAAATGACATCCAATATATAAAAAAACTCAACTCTTCCTTTTATATATAATCAAGCAAAATATAAGAAATATTTAATATATATA